TCATATGGTATTAATGGTGACCGCTCAAACAACACCCTATACCCTGTATGCAGTAGGCAATTTGTTCATTTTTAATAGGGTGGACGTACCAGTACAACAGCTCCATGGATTTTTCAATGCATAGCACAGTGACAGCCGAAATACACAGGGCACGGATGCGGCGCGACACATCTGCTGAAGCATGCTTGTAGCAGAAAGGAAACTCAGTAGAGGCAATGTGACACAGCTAAACAACCTTGTGGGTGTTTTGACATTTTAATTTAAAATAAATCAGCGCTGCATTTCTTTCGTTCTGCTAACACGCAGCATTAGTAAACCAAACAAACCTAAACTGACTTTTTTAACTGTACTTGCTACAAATCAATCATCAATAAGATTACAAATTCTAGATTAAGTTAAGAAAAAATGAAGAAAAAAAAGATATATATACATATATATACAGTATATATATATACATATACATACAGTGTGTATATATATATACACAGTATATATACATATATACAGTATATATATATACATATATACAGTATATATATATACATATATACATATATATACATATATACAGTATATATACATATATACACATACATATATATACATATACATATATATGCATATACAGATACATATACACATACACACATGTGTGTATATATTTTCATATATACACTGTATATATATCCAGTTTATATATATATACTGTATATATGTACCTGTCACCTACTTTACTTGAGTGTTTCCATTTTATTCTTAGTATTTTAGTTCACTACAAGAGGGAAATATTTAACTGTTAACTTCACTGCATTTATTTGAAAATAATAGTATTCAGGCTACTTTGCAAATTCTTAATATAAAATATAGAAATATATGTGTGACTGTAGGCTTACAGTAAATATTTCATTTTAAACGGGCCTTTCAGCATTATGAGTATACTTTTACGTTGTATTTATGTAAGTAACATTTTGAATGCAGGAATTTTACTTGTAACAGAGAATTTTTACATTTTGCTCTAGAAAACAACTAAATCAATAAAACACAAAGGTGGTATTTATATGAATGAAAGTCAAGAGTGATAAACGTGAAGGGGTCCGTGTTCAAGACTGTTTGATTGGGTTGCCGAGTTGCAGCGGGAACAGAGGGCTCCGTTACTCCCAGCAGGGAGAGAGGGCTCAGCGAGCACTAACCTCACGGCCCCGGGAAGCAGCACAGTCCGGGCTAGCATTGCTGTAAAGCTGACACGCTGCAGAGGAAAAGTGCACGGAGAGAGCCAGACAGCCCACTGTTGAGAATTGTAAAATATTTTTGTCCATAAAATAGACTTTGACTGCCCGCTACAGTCTAGGTTCATGGGAAACATTGTATATGTACATATATGTACAGCTGTATTTATATTTATTTGTATGTATGACAGCAACAAAAAGCAGAGTCAAACATCAGAACTTATGGCCCAGTAAATTCCTACCACTGACTTCATATCTTTGAGTAAGCATTTTAGGAAATCTATTTTAATATAATACTCACTTGCACATACCTGCATGTGATCGTTCCACCTGTCCTTACTGACTGTGGAAAGATCCCTTTAAAAAGTAATTTGATTGTATAGATGGGGGTAGAAACCCACATGAAAAAGGACTGTGGATTTTGTCACCCATCACTTACATTGAATTTGATTTTAGAAGGGATCTCTTATTGCATCCAGTGTGGAGAAGAAGAATAATTACAGCCACCAATAAGTCTTTCAATGTAGGCCTACGTACGGGCATTTCAGTTTCAACATCAAAATGAAGCTCTTGCGAGGCACATGTTGGAAGTGATGAATTAGTATCAGACATGTCTTTCAACATTCATATTACCCTTCAGCAGCAAAGAGCAGACTCAAAGAAAACAGAGAAGACAACGGGCTTCTGGTAAAACAACACTATTTGGTAACAAAATGGCTGACTTTAATTAGTGATAAGTAACCTAATGTTACAACTAACAAGTGATTGCCATTGTATGCTACCTCGGACAGCAAAGACACCACATGTTACATAGTGGAGCGACTGTGTGGAGAGCAGGGCCGTCCTTCAATCAGAGGATCAGCGGTTCGATCCCCGGCTCTGGCTCCGCTAGTCGCATGTCGATGTGTCTTTGAGCAAGACACTTAACCCAAAATTGCTCCCGTAGCTGTACCTACAGTGTGATATAATCTGAATTGTAAGCCGCTCTGGATAAAAGCATCTGCTAAATGACTGTAATGTCAGAATGACATTTATTCTGACTTTATCTTGCCAACACATGTTAAATAAGGTCAGTATTGGCCTCAATCTAGCAATCAGATTGGTGCATTAAATATGGTATTGTTTTTAGTATTACAGTCATATATATAACCCTGTGGGCTGCATACTCTACCTGTGCCTGTGTAGTAGCAGGTCTTGTGCATTTTGCACTTGAAGAGCTCCAATCCCATAATGGAGTAAATGGTGACCATGAAAAGGACCAGTAGGGTGATGTGAAAAAGAGGCAGCATGGACTTCAGGATGGAGTTCATCACGACTTGAAGGCCTTCAGGGGACAACAGGACAACAGATCAGTATTCCTAAAGTATTCTCTCCAAGCAAGCAATCATTCATCGACATTTAATAACTGCGAGTGAAATTAGTGCCACACTTCTGTAGAACGTTGTCAGAAAGCTTTATTTCTAATAGTAATATAAATACTACCACTAAGAATAAAATAAAAAAGATGGTACAATTATGTTAGGCTTGATGAAATGATATAATGTAAGTGGTTCAAAGTATCTGATTCAAGCAGACCAGTTACTCACTGGGGACTCCAGAGACCAGTCGGAGTGGTCGCAGGACTCTGAACGCCCGCAGAGCTTTCATGTCAAAGCCACCACCTTTTTCTCCCACTGGAGCCTCCACTCCACTGATGTGGTTAGAGGCATCCACAAGCACACTGAACAAGCTAGAGGGATACAAACAGAAATATCAGATGGTTGTTTAGAACGTTTAAAGTGAGCATCCTTCCTGTTGTTAATGTTCATTAAATGGTGTTTCTCCTGGTGCATCCATGTTCCCTCACTCACATCCTTTCCTCTAATAGATGTCCTACCTGCTGAAGATGTGAGTGAGTGATGCAGGAAAAGAGGCAAGGAATGGGGGAAATCTGTTTTTAGTAAAATGACATGTTCTTTTCTCTCAGGCGTAATCTGAAGGGACATCAGTTCGTGATGAGTGTGGCACAACTGGATCAGCTGTCAGTCTTTCACAGCTTAAAGTGTCCATGCTGAGTATTTGTATTTGCACAGAGTGATGAAGTTTACAGTTACCACAGCCGGTGCTCTAGTTTGTCTCCATGATTTATGTCCTCTCACATGGCAAACACAACATCACATATCCTAAGTGTGCTTCCCCTTAAGATGAGTTGTTCTACAAGCATCTATCCATTTGTTACTACTGGCAGCAACAGGGTTATCTATTTCATTTATTCATTATTTGCACGTGCATTCATTTATACTCTGTTCATACATTTATTATCTAACTATCCAGATTATGATTTTAATAATATGTATAGATAATTCAATAGCCAATTTTATTTTAGGAAAGAGAAAATAATGTAAACGTATCTTTAGAGGATAGTTTCTACTTGACACACAGAAAGTGAACCCTCCAGCTGTGTTCAGCTTTCCTCTCTGAACAATGGAGTTCATGTTATTGTCATAAGGTTCCATGACTTTGTCCACAAGGCATCTGAACACACAATTCATTGAGACAATGTTCATGAAATGTGGGGTGTGGTGTTCCCACTCATTACAAATGAAATGGTGTGACAGTAGTGCATCACAAAAGGTTCAGGCCCATTCATCAGATTGACACACTTCCTCTTTTAGACCCCCATGTGCATGTGCTTGAACACACACAGACACACACACACACACACACACCTCACTCCCCTTCTTGCTTTCCATGGCTACCCCGACAGGAACATTTACTCACAGAATGTTTTACTCACAGAGCTACCTGTGGGCATTCTCACAAACTATATAGATAATATGGAGCTTTTCTCGCAGCTCTGGTATATAAAGATTTTGTGAGGTCTTACTCACAATTGATTCTGTGCAGCTAAATTATTTATTTATATATAAAATCATGGACGGGAACACAACAGATGCTATTTTGTGTCACTACTAAAAATATTGAAAGTGTTTTAAAACAAATGTCCGTGTCAAATGTTGACACAAACTAGTCTATGATGAATAGCACAATAGGTTTAATCTGAGTATTTGTTGTAGTCAAAATAATCCAATATGTTGTGCTTTCTTTCAGGTCAATGAAGCCTACAGGCGTGTTGGTACTGGAAGTGTTTAATTTAGATACACATGGTCTAAGGAGTGTTACAGTAGAAACCAGGGTGCTTTCATTTATTGATAGTGGTGAAATAGTTGTGTTAAACTGAGCGGTGAAAAACCACCAGCGCCCAAGCCATGCTGGCAGAGTGTGAGGGATGTTCTACTGCACAGCCCGGCGAAGTAAACCAAAGCGTATCTAGATTATGTGATGAAGGCGTGCTGGTTTGCAGAAAAAGCAGTAAGAGTCTGTTGCTCTTCATAACTGTGGCTGCTTGTTATTTATTTATTCTTTTTCAAACTGATCTGCTTACCAATTAGTGACAAATATGTTCATGTATTTTGGTGTTCACCTGCTTTTATTGTTGAACTTGGCGATAAGCATACTACAGCCTCACTGGTTTAAGAAGCAGTAACAGGACATGTTTGGTTTCCTGCAGTAACTTACGGAGTGTAGTGCAATGAAACTAAACTCCAACTGAATAAATTAGCAGAGGATACCAAGACCTCAATGGTGCAGCTCGCTGCGACTCTGTCCTGCTGTCAGGACTCAGTGGAAACACACGTGTTCACAACTTGGTGCAGCGAAATTAATGTGGACCGACCAGGCTCATGGTAAAGCAGCATTAGACCAACTGCTACACACACACAATACACAAACCTCTTATCTTAGGTTTATCTGAGAGATGCAGCTGAAAAGGTTCAATCATCATCACAACAGGTAACACAGGACCACTTGCAAGGGCAGTATGGACCAGGGTCAGCATCAAACCCACGTTCCTCTTGGAATGAGCTGACTCAAACACTATCACTACCTTTTCACCACTATTTTGCAAAGCAATGACACAACATAAACAGCATATAGTAATGTGGCCATTCAGAACATTACATTACAAACACAATGCCCTCAACAGGAACTTATACACTTACCCAACGGATACACAAACAAAGTCCAGAATGTTCCAGCAGTTTCTTAAGTAAGCATCTGTATGGAATAGAAATCCATAGGCAATGATCTTCAGGAAACATTCTATAGAGAAGATGATGAGGAAGATGTACTCCAGGCTTTCCTGTAAAACAACCACAATGGCTTTTGTTTGAATCTGTGTTACTTGTAGTCTCAAATAACTTGTTTGAGTACATTGGTTGCTTATATTTACTGACAGCATTCTGACATATTTGTAATTTTTTTGAACATATTAGAAGTTCTCGAGTTATTTCTTCTGTTGTACCTGTGTTGATGAGGCGTCAGTGTCAAGGTGTTGTTTTCACTCAGGGCTTACACTGTAGGTTGAGTAGTGAAGTCACCTCCCCTGCTCATGTTTCTTTATGAGAGTTTATCAACTTCTGTCTATTCATGTCACTTACAAACTCACACACCACTGAAAGGCTTTATGGCCTCTCCCATTTCAGCAAAGGTATTCAGTGAATGTCTATTTTAAAAGGCGCAGCACACACACAGTGCCCTTCAGGAGTGTTAAACTGGTACATAGGCCTAGTATTGTCCGTGTATCATTGTCCTTGGGTATAATCAAATCAAATTAATTCAAATTAGTTCATTAATCATTGTAATACAAAATAATCGTTCATAGAAGTTCATTATCTTCTTGGTGGATCATTCGTTGTTTTGTAGAAATTCTGATGTCAAGTTATAATCTCAGTGGGTACATCTGTACAACCTAATGTAGTCCAATACAACAGCTACAACAGATCTATCTTTACCAACTTTACAATGTTCAGTTTTTGTTGACATTGTTGGAAATGTGTAACTTCAACAAAAAGGTCCAAACACAATAAGTAATAAATGATCCCGCATTTTTTAATCAATCATTACAAAATGAGGGATCTGCAATTCTTTGAAAATAAAATGTAATAATACTGTGCATTATGTAATAACCAACCAAAATTGATGTCTTCGTCCATACACACGTGATATATATATATATATATACACAGTATATATATATATTTTATATTATTATTTTATTGACAGGTTATATTTTGAATAATTAGGCATTATTCAATCTTCCCAAATATTGAATGAGACCCATATGAACTGTGGTGCCTGCATTGCCGTTATACAGTATTTGAGTTCAATCTTAGTCTATAGCCACAGAAAAGCAGTACCAAGATAAGAATTGTATGGCAAAATTGAGGGACTTTGTTTTAGTGTATTATAATGTAAAATGAGATTACAAACATTATGTAATGCAGCTTGAATGCTATTTTTAATAAAAGTAGCCTGATGCTGTGGTCACACCAAATGCAAAGCAAATATTTTGCGTGACGAGATTACATACAAAGTCAATGCAAAGCAGCGAAATGGACGCGAGTGGACAAAAGAATCAAAAGAAAAAAAAATCAAATGTGTAGTTCAAATATTTCAACTCAAGCAACAAATAATGTGACGCTGTCGCGAAAGCCTATCAGCGTTGAGATTTTCCTCCTGTCATCATTGACGTTCTTGAATCAGAAATGGAGGAAAAAAATATGGTAGCCGTATGTGGACACCCAGATCTCTACGATACCTCATATTTATACAGAGACCAGACGAAACTGTGTGTATAAATGTATGTGTATAAACCACATTGTAAAACAATAACGCTGCCGCCATATTTACGCCTATATGATGTTATTTTGAGTGTTGATGGAGCAGCTACAAAGTTAGCAAAGCAACCAAACTTTGCGTTTGGTGTGAACACAGCATAAGGCAGAGAATAAAAGTGTATAATCATGGTGGGCTAAAATATTGTATGATATGAAAAACATTAACATTTGGAACAGGAGATACAAATGCTATTATTCAAAACTCGCTAGGTAATCTTAAATTGGAATTTATTTGAAATGTTCAATTTATGAAATATGGGGGCCTAAAAATTACTCAAAACTGTACGGTAAATGGGTGATCCTTAACTGGATTTGAATTTAAAGTTTCTCATAATGTCTTAAGGATTTGTTTTTGTATCAGTTCAAATATGAGGAAATTATAAATTATATCATTATAGCAAACTTTCCTGAAATGTTCTCAAAAACAGTAAAATCACATGAAATGTAATATGGACATAGTCTAGGTCACACGTGTCAAACTCAAGGCCCGCAGGCCGAATCCGTCCCGCCACGTTATTTTATGTGGCCCGCGAATCCACCAGCAAAAATTAATTTGGAAAAGTCAAGTCGAAAGTTGGTTAGACTTGAAAATAAAAATATCCCCATGGTCGAAATTATGAGATAGCATGTTGTGAAGTATTATCACCGTGGCTGGACATTGATTACTTGTCCTCCTAACAGTCACTTGGTAACAATATGGTTAATTAGTTATTACCTTTTTTTTTTAAAAACAGGTGGACAGGAGAGGGAACAGCCCGTAAAGCGGTTTTCCAACAAGTGATTGAGTTGAAAAAGATCGACAAATAATCCCAAAATGTCCACGAAGAGAAAGATTGATGCAGAGGGAAGAAGATGTAATTCAAGATGGGAAAGCGAATACATGTCTGTGCTTCAGGGAGAAAAACAGGTCTGTCTTCTGTGTTATGATGCGTGTCGGTGATGAAGGATACAATTCACGTCGGCATTTTGACACCAAACACGGAGCTAAATTTAGCCTCCAAGAAAAACATCAAATTATCCAAGAATTAAAAGGCAGACTGCAATCACAGCAGAATATATTTACAGAAGCTACAGCCCAGTGCATGCTAAAGGTCTGTGAGCAGGTGTGCTCCGATCAGATACAGACTTTTACAAATGTCAGTTTGTGAAGAAACACCATCGCAGACCGAGTTCAGGAACTAGCAGCAATCTAACAACACAGCTAGCTAAGAGACGAGATACATCATCTATCAATGTTTATAAGAGGCTCAAGGCAGACCTGACTCTCAGTGAGGAACTCTTGGATGTAGCTGCCATGCACGGGACGACGGCAGGGAGGGACATTAGTGATGTAGAGAGGTGACAAAAATAGCTTTGAACAAAGTTAATGTAATAACTTGTGTTTGATATTTGTCTTTGTTATTTTCTTTAAAAGTTTGATCTTTGATAGAGTAATGTGGGTTTCTTCACCCTAAATTAAAATGATTTATGTTATAATAACAGAAATGTGCTTAAATATATTTTTACATTGATATAACTGCATGTACAATATTTTTACACTTGAATAAACAATAATCAAAAGCAGAGACAGTTATTTAACAATATGTTAGGAGTAGTTACAGTTATACAGTCTTACAGTTACAACCGGCCCTTTGAGGGAAACCATGATGCTGATGTGGCCCAGAGTGAAAATGAGTTTGACAGCCCTGGTCTAGGTCATCCTGAACAGGATCCCTGTGGAATTTTTTGTCCCATGCAGAGAGTGGACCCCAACCGGGAAGTGTAAGCATATTTCTGGTTCATTATGATACTGTGGTGGGCCTACCTAGAGTGTATGTAATTAATGGGAAACACTGGATTAGTCATGAAAAAGAGAACCCTGCGAGCTTCTTTTTGCGTTAATCAGCAATAAAGTTGTAGCATGATGTGTTGACAGGTTGTATCTAGTCGGTGCTCTCCTCTCCTCTTTCAGTTTCCACGGTGCAGGTACTCCTCTCGTGTGTCTCGGCAGCAGTGTAGTGGCCTAGTAACCTACCTGCTGCGTACTGAGCTTGCATTTTGTGTCATGGTGGTCATTTTGTGATTTTAAGCCTGGTATTTCTGGGCTGCATAGACATAGAGGGCTATGTTAATTATAGATGCCACATTGTCTTCTTTGCCACTCGTAGTCTTTCAAGAGAGGAGTGTACGATAGCGCTGTCATGTGTCGAGCAGCAATTATAGCTCAACTATAACTTCTCAAAACCTTCTTTCTTCTCCGTGTAGATCATAAATCATTGAATAGAAAACCGACTCATTGACATTGGTGGAGACATTTTAAAGTTATAGTGCTTGTTACCCAGACAGATTATAGCTCCCCTGTATAGCTTTACATTGTTTGTGTGCGCTGATCTGTCTGAAACACTACCAGCCAAATTTGATAAAATGTACTGCATTGTATTACTACTGCAAAGTTACACCTCAAATTGTTCTGCAAATGTTGACATCTGTCTTATGGTCACTATTTTTCTGACTGCTGAGCTCCTGAAAAACTGCAGAGCAATAAAGTGTGTGGTGTTTCTATGACAACCAGTAACTGCGAGTTGTCATGTCTTCAGCTGAGACTCAACTGCATTAAACAGTTACCAATGTGGTCAATTGTATGGATTGATCTTTTCTTCGATTTTGATTGTTTGCAAACGTGACAGAAAATATAGATAATGTAAATGTTGCAATGTATTGAAACCTTATAAAAACATTATATGGCCTGTCCTCAATGCACCCCAGGGTACCAACTTTGAGAACCACTGGCCTAAACCACCATCAGTATCTACAGTATATTATAAAAACTAACACAAGCATGCTGACGTACCAAGTTGCTGTTGGTGTTGTTGCTGTCTTCCTCAGGCATGGGCAAGTACACAGCCAGGGCCACACAGTTGGCAAAGATGGCCAGTAGGATGATGATTTCAAAAGGTCTGAAAGTGATTTATAGGAAGCTTCCAGGCTAATCACCATAGCTCATATAGATTTTCCCACATTACACAAATTAAATAACAAGCACCTTGACACACACTCACACATACACCTACAGCTGTGCTACTACTAGAACTCCAAACATATACCATTTAATGACTACTGAAAGTAAATATGGTGTAAGGTAGCTACAATTACATCAAATGTCATTGTAAAATGTAATGTATAGGGACACTTTACTACAGCAGGATACTTCCACTCCACAATACTGATGCATGACTTGCGGAAGGGATTCCTGAGTGTCAAGAAGAGGAGAGAACGTGCAGGCCTCGGGTTGCCTCCTGTAGACATCAGCTTCTTTAGCTTCTCCTTTTGTTTTCTCTTCAGAGTTTCCTCATCCATGATGTAGGATGACAATGGGGGACTGCTGCTGTCTGCCATTGTGGCTTCAAGAGATTTGCACCAAGTTTACTTTGATTTGGAGGTGGTATTCCAAGAGGTCCTTTTTAAAATGCAGTAGTGCTGTTGGCTAGTTCTGTCCACTCATTCGTAACCCTTCTCAACTTTTCTCAATCATCTCTATCACACTCTCTGTCTGATGGTTTGACTGAGCTCCCCCTCTTTCTCTGTCTATATCTGTGGAATGGCAGCTGTCCCCTCTACTTGTAGGGGATTGGTTTACTGAGCAGCTGTGTGGTCAAGAGAATAAATATAGACAATGCGCATGGGTGTTGTAGCATGGGGTGACAAAAGAGGACATTTGCACAGATATAATTTGACTATAGGATATTGTTTAATAAATTATAAATGGGACAACATGGTACTGCAACTAAGAAATCCCTTTTGGCACAAAAAGTATTTCCACCACAGACTTAATGGTGTCCATCTGTCAGATTTTATGAAGTTGTAAAGATGATACGATTTCATAACCTTTCTGAAGGATCTCACCTAGATATATGACATTTGGTAGGCAGATGGAACTTGGAGACTCTCTATAAAAGCCTCTTGGTGGTATACCGTAAACCCAACAGGAAGGCAGCCATTTTGAATTTAATTTGCTGTTTGCAGGCATTTCTTGCCTTTTCCAGGCACTGTACTTTAACAAACTACTGCTAGACATTTCACCAGATTGACTTTAAATTTGGTCAGCACAATCCTAAAACCTTTGCAATGCTAAATTGAAAAAGCTTTAAAGTTTTGGTGGAACCCTGTTTAGGGGCAGCAAAAAAGTGCCTTTCACCATGAAACAAGAAGTTGTGACGACGTGCTCCGGTAAGCATATTTTTTCAATTCCTGTTGTCCGATAGCGTACCTTCACAGCTCCAGCTAAACTAAGATAATTGTGTGCTATTCTTCATTACAAGCGGCTAATTTGCTGCTGTAAATTTAAACACCCATAGCTCTCTCCATTTTTTAGCGACTTCTCGCTTAATCCAACAGTTGTTTACACGTTGTTCAGTTCTGCTAATGTTAGCTACCGTATTTCAGCTTAGCAGCTAGCGATGGCTCCCATCTCTACCTCTCTTGTTCGGTGTGTCACATATCTAGCCTTTCCTCTGCCTCCCTTAAGGATAATGGTACAAGTAATAAGTGTAGATTATTTGCAAGTTTGGAGGCGAGGCTTACAGTCTTTAGCCAGGCCCGAGGTGCACGAGAACGCGCGTTCAATTTAAGAATCCTCATTCCGGGGAGCACAGCTGAGAACACTTCGGCTGTGTAAGAACCCGTTTTTAGGCATTCATGAATCAGGCGGAGATCTTTTCTGACGTTAGTCTTCCGAAGTCCGTAAGAAAACATTTCAGAAGACGCTTCAGAAAATGTTTGAGAATGAGGCCCAATGTGTTTCTAAATTTATTTTTATTTTATTTTGGAGAGCGACAGGGAAAGTCTCCGAGATCGACCCGTCGATCGCGATCAACAGGTTGGCGACCACTGCTCTAGACCTTCCTCTCTAAGATCCTTGAGAAAGCAATCGCAAATCAGTTGTGTGACATTCTACAGAACAATACTTTATTTGAGGATTTTCAGTCAGGATTAAGAGTGCATCATAAGACAGAGACAGCTCTGGTGAAAATTACTAATGACCTTCTAATTGTATCAGATAAAGGACTTGTCTCTATTGTCTTGTTAGACCTTAGTGCTGCGTTCGATTCCATTGACCATTACATCCTATTACAGAGACTAGAACCTTTGATTGGCATTAAAGGAACCACACTAAGCTGGTTTAAGTCCTATTTATCAGATGGATCTCAGTTTGTGTCTGTAAATGATGAAACCTCGATGAACACCCGTTAGTCATGGAGTTCCACAAGGTTTTATCTTGGCATTACCCTGGCATCCAGCACCACCGTACATAATCAGATTTATCTTTGATCAGGATTTGTCCTTTAACTCCCAGATAAAACTAATTGCAAGGAATGCCTTTTTTCTTTTTCAATCTTTTGAGCAAATGTACCCACTCACATCCAAAATGAAGTCACAGATAATAAATGATCTAAGAGCCCAATATGATCAGAATCCTAACACATGACTTCACTGACCAACAATGAGCTGAAACAAGTGGTTTAATAACTACAGATAAAGTCCCTGCACACAAATGTCTCTTATTAGAAGATGACAAGAATATAATATCATGGTTTTCTTGGTTGACACCACTTCACCCTGAATGAACTGAATTTAAAGTTGCAGGGTAAAAAACATTTGTTCTAAAATGAAGTATTTTATTTTAAGATGCATATTTTTCAAAAGCTTTCTGTTATGTAATCTTTAATGCATCCCTTATTTTACTTGAAGTGAGAGAAGAACATTTATTTATTATTAGAGTATATATTATTTATAATTCGTCCAGTTCAGGTTTAAATCTGACAATAAATATTGTTGAGATATTATTCAATTGAACTTTCTTTATTTGATTTGACTGTATGTAGTCTACAACTAACTGACGTTAATACAACTGTTGGCTACTTCAATATATATGGGACTAAATTAAAGAGCAAGTTAGACATTATTGTGATGTTCCAGACCTTTGATGAGGAAATTGTCTCTAACTGGACCTTGTTGAACTCTTTAATTGAATACCCCTGCAGTAAGCCAACTGCAGTTATTTTCTTTTTGTGATTTATTTTGCTACCCCCCGCTCTGACAGCACAACCTGTATTACTGTTACTATGTATATTTCTGTGACATTCTGTGATATTTATTTTAACTTCAACATTATCTGCTGTCTTAAGTAGCGCCATTTGTATCATATTTGCTTCATAAGTTTCAAAGATCTCTATGTAATTAACATGAGCAATGCTTTCCTGAAAAACCTGTTGCGTACAATCCTATACATGTCTTCTGCCATCTGGTTGATTTTCCATGCACTGCAGGCAGTAGCAGGCATTTAAATGCCATTTCCAAAATGGCAGCCGTCACAAAGCGACTCGTTCGTTTTCGGCAGGGAAATCGTTGCTAATTTTGAAAAAGTTAAGGTAAGAATAACATTTATAGTGTTACTAATATTTCAATATGAATATTTACTGTATTGAATTAACCTATAATTACTTAATGTTTCATTCCTTATTTTATTGTAAAATCGTGTTGAAAATATAGGTACAGCAGTACAGCAGGTACGTATATAAAGTAAAGTTCACCTGTAAATCCTTGTATTGTATTTCATTATGCAATCTGGATTATGCCATATCACAATGCCAAATACACTGTTTTGATAATTTAATTAAACAAATTAAAGGTAGTTTTTGTTATAGTTAAGGAACTTACTCAACTTGAGGCTCGGCGTCTCTCCAGATTCTGCAAATTTGTAGTTATCTGCCTATTTGTCTCAAGTCTGTTCACTCAGTACAGTCTTACATACATTTCATAAAGCCGACAAGAACTTCTGGACATTGGTTTCCACAACTTGGACAACTCTATCGGCAATCTCCGGCTCATTTCAGAGATTGTCAAGACACCGGATACTACCAATCCAGCTCCGCCGGCCGGAGAGGCTCGCAGGCGGCGTCGAGACCGTAAACATGGTGGGGGAAGGAGGGCTAAGGGCTAGGCTAAGGCTATCTCTACCCAGCATCTTCCTCGCCAATGTACGGTCTCTGGCGAACAAAATGGATGAGCTGCGGCTGCGGACCATCACTCAAAAAAGGATTATGGACTGCAACATCATGATCTTTACACTTTCCTAATAGTGCCATTGAGCCAACGGAACGCTACATGCTCAGGGCAGATAGGACAGCAGACGACTCCAGTAAGACCAGAGGCGGGGGCCAGTGCATTTATATAAACAAAGCTTGGTGCACAGACACTGCTGTAATTGTGAGTCACTGCTCTGCTAACCTGGAATATCTCATGGTTAAGTGTAGACCTTTCTATCTGCCCAGAGAGTTTACATCTACTGTTGTGACTGCAGCATATATCCCCCTGGATGCTAATGCTAAGCTTGCAGTGAAGGAATTGCATGCTGCCACGAGCAAACTTCAGACTAAACACCCGGAGGCAGCCTTTATTGTTGCGGGTGACTTCAACCACTCCAACCTGAAGTCTGTACTCCCCAAATTTTACCAACATGTCTCCTGACCCACCAGAGACGACAAGACCTTGGACCATGTTTACACCAACATGGCTAAGGCACACAAAGCCATTCCCCTCCCCCACCTGGGACAGTCGGACCATCTCTCATTGTTCCTACTCCCCAAGTACACACCACTCACCAAACGTGAGAAACCATCAGTGAGAACAGTTGAAGTGTGGCCAGAGGGAGCAAACTCTACACTACAGCACCGGTTTCAACTAATGTTGCACGTTGCATCGATACCAAAAAGGTACCGCGGTACCCGTATGTTAAAAAACGATATGATTTTGCATATTATTAGTATCGATACTTCATTAAAATAGCGCGCACCCACTGTTACGCATTGACTGCAAGGGGGCGGGGCTGCCCAGCGCTCACACACGCAACAGGCAGCAGTGTTGCCAACTTGGCGACTTACTCGCTAAATCTGGCGACTTTCCAAACCCTCATGGTGACTTTTTTTGTCAAAAGCTACTAGCGACAAATCTAGCTACTTTTTCTGGTGTTGTTGGAGACTTTTCTGGTGTTTTCACTCTGACGTGAAAGCACGTACCGTTCAGCATGCGGGAGCTGCCGTGAGCCCCTCCGCCGCTTCAAAGCACTCAAAGGTGATTAGTGTCACAGTAGCCGTGGATGAACAGAGAGGTCCACCTACTGCTGAAGGCACGTGACACCGCCTTCAGATCAGGTGATGCGCAAGCCTACAGCTCATCCAGAGCCAACCTGAAGAGGGGTATCAAGAGGGCCAAGCACAGCCACAAGCTAAGGACTGTAGGGGGCGCTAGTGAGCCATTTTGTCATACATGAGCATGCGACCCTTAAAATCGCAAATTTTCACGCAGTCCTGATACGCCTGCCAAATTTGGGGAGTTTTTGAGTATGATAAAGCCCTGAAAAATGCAATTTTAGAGGCAAC